AAGGTTTTATGGATAAAAAGTTTTTCTCCATCGCTTTTAGTTTATGAGTTATGATTGAGTTAATTTTCGAAAATCAACAATTTTGATGTTTAATCGATTTAGAGCTAATAAATAAAAAAATGGTAATAATTGGGTTCAATCTTTTTATGGATCTAGTCTTTATCGCCCATTACTAAAGTTTTATGTATAAAAAGTTTTTCTCCATACCTTTTAGTTTTTGAGTTATGATTGAGTTAATTTTCGAAAATTAACAATTTTGATGTTTAATCGATTTAGAGCTTATAAATAAAAAATGGTAATAATTGGGTTCAATCTGGTTATGGATCTAGTCTTTATGGCCCATTACTAAGGTTTTATGGATAAAAAGTTTTACTCCATCGCTTTTAGTTTTTGAGTTATGATTGAGTTAATTTTCGAAAATCAACAATTTTAATGTTTAATCGATTTAGGCCTTATAAATAAAAAATTGTAATAATTGGGTTCAATCTTTTTATGGATCTAATCTTTATGGCCCATTACTAAGGTTTTATGTATAAAAAGTTTTTCTCCATCGCTTTTAGTTTTTGAGTTATGATTGAGTTAATTTTCGAAAATCAACAATTTTGATGTTTAATCGATTTAGAGGTAATAAATAAAAAATGGTAATAATTGGGTTCAATCGTTTTATGGATCTAGTCTTTATGGTCCAATACTAAGGTTTTATGTATAAAAAATATTTCCCTATCGCTTTTATTTTATGAGTTATGATTGAGTTCATTTTCGAAAATCAACAATTCTGATGTTTAATCGATTTAGAGCTTATAAATAAAAAATGGTAATAATTGGGTTAAATCTTTTTATGGATCTAGTCCTTATGGTCCATTATTAAGGCTTTACGTATAAAAAGTAATTCTTCATCGCATTTATTTTATGAATTATGATTGAGTTAATTTTCGAAAATCAACAATTTTGATGTTTAATCGATTTAGAGCTTATAAAAATAAAAAATGGTAATAATTGGGTTCAATCTTGTTTTGGATCTAGTCTTTATGGCCCATCACTAAGGTTTTATGTATAAAAAGTTTTTCTCCATCGCTTTTAGTTTTTGAGTTGTGATTGAGTTAATTTTCAAAAATCAACAATTTTGATGTTTAATCGATTTAGAGCTTATAAATAAAAAATGGTAATAATTGGGTTCAATCTTGTTATGGATCTAGTCTTTATGGCCCATTACTAAGGTTTTATGGATAAAAAGTTTTTCTCCATAGCTTTTAGTTTTTGAGTTATGATTGAGTTAATTTTCAACAATTTGGATGTTTAATCGATTTAGAGCTTATAAATAAAAAATGGTAATAATTGGTTTTAATCTTGTTATGGATCTAGTCTTTATGGTCCATTACCAAGGTTTTATGTATAAAAAATATTTCTTCACCGCTTTTAGTTTTTGAGTTATGATTAAGTTAATTTTCGAAAATCAACAATTTTGATGTTTAATCGATTTAGCCCTTATAAATAAAAAATGGTAATAATTGGGTTCAATCTTTTTATCGATCTAGTCTTTATGGTCCAATACTAAGGGTTCATGTATAAAAAACATTTCCCCATCGCTTTTATTTTATGAGTTATGATTGAGTTAATTTTCGAAAATCAACAATTTTGATGTTTAATCAATTTAGAACTTATAAATAAGAAATGGTAATAATTGGGTTCAATCTTTTTATGGATCTAGTCTTTATGGCTCATTACTAAGGTTTTATGGATAAAAAGTTTTTCTCCATCGCTTTTAGTTTTTGAGTTAATTTTCGAAAATCAATAATTTTGATGTTTAATCGATTTAGAGCTTATAAATAAGAAATGGTAATAATCGGATTCAATCTTGTTATGGATCTAGTCTTTATGGTCCATTACTAAGGTTTTATGTATAAAAAGTTTTTCTCCATCGCTTTTAGTTTTTGAGTTATGATTGAGTTAATTTTCGAAAATCAACAATTTTGATGTTTAATCGATTTAGAGCTTATAAATAAAAAATGGTAATAATTGGGTTCAATCTTGTTATGGATCTAGTCTTTATGGCCCATTACTAAGGTTTTATGTATAAAAAGTTTTTCTCCATCGCTTTTAGTTTTTGAGTTATGATTGAGTTAATTTTCGAAAATCAACAATTTTGATGTTTAATCGATTTAGAGCTTATAAATAAAAAATGGTAATAATTGGGTTCAATCTTGTTATGGATCTAGTCTTTATGGCCCATTACTAAGGTTTTATGTATAAAAAGTTTTTCTCCATCGCTTTTAGTTTTTGAGTTATGATTGAGTTAATTTTCGAAAATCAACAATTTTGATGTTTAATCGATTTAGAGCTTATAAATAAAAAATGGTAATAATTGGGTTCAATCTTGTTATGGATCTAGTCTTTATGGCCCATTACTAAGGTTTTATGTATAAAAAGTTTTTCTCCATCGCTTTTAGTTTTTGAGTTATGATTGAGTTAATTTTCGAAAATCAACAATTTTGATGTTTAATCGATTTAGAGCTTATAAATAAAAAATGGTAATAATTGGGTTCAATCTTGTTATGGATCTAGTCTTTATGGCCCATTACTAAGGTTTTATGTATAAAAAGTTTTTCTCCATCGCTTTTAGTTTTTGAGTTATGATTGAGTTAATTTTCGAAAATCAACAATTTTGATGTTTAATCGATTTAGAGCTTATAAATAAAAAATGGTAATAATTGGGTTCAATCTTGTTATGGATCTAGTCTTTATGGTCCATTACTAAGGTTTAATGGATAAAAAGTTTTTCTCCATCGCTTTTAGTTTTTGAGTTATGATTGAGTTAATTTTCAACAATTTTGATGTTTAATTGATTTAGAGCAGTGGTGTCCACTAATTTTTGATCAATATTTATATATATAGATATTTCAGATTCATGATTTTCTTGGCGGTCGACTCAAAACTGCTTTGCGATCGACATTATGGACATCACTGTGCTATATGATGATAATTAGCAAAAAGTGAATCATGCCGTTTAATGGTGAATAAAAAAACTTTTAACAAATCTTTATTACCGAATACCTAATTCAATTAGTTAACATTAAAGTCGTTAAATGTTTTTTTCATTAGATATTAGCCCCAAATGAAGTTGTTGCATAAAAATGTAAAAAGTACTCATTTAAATCAAGTTCAAGTAGTACATTTTTTTTTCTTTGTAAATAACAAAAAACAACCTTAACGTTTTATGCATAGATAAAACATTGGCGACAAAGTTGGAGGTTGAAAACGATAAGGAAATTCTATACTGGTATAATATGCAAAAATTCCTTTTTGAAAACTCATACATAACGAATAATAATTATTTATTTAGAGTCGTATTTAGTTTGAAACGATTTTTTGGTATAATGTAGTTATTTTCCATATTATTATTATTATTTAATCTTTTTTAATTATCAATTACAACAATTTTAATACACGATTAAAGCGACGTGAATTGACATATCGAATCGATTAGAATCACCCATAAAAATTAATATTTATACCTTCTTTTCACGTAACATTAAAACGAAAAACTTTGTTCTTACAATTTATTTTTAAAGTCACGTTTTAAAGATAAAAAAAATGTTATAAAGTTTCTTTTTTTTCTTAAACTAAGACTAAGACAATAGTACTGTTTTACTTTACACGTTTTTTTTTATTATTTTTTTAATATTTATGTTCGTAGTTTTTCATTCATTCATTTCAAAACGACAACTAATAATAAACTACTAATAATAAAAAAAATATGAACCTCGACATTGTTTATGAGGTGATAAAAAAGCTTAATTGTTTTGTATTTTTTTATTCATTTGATGATTTCGGAATAATTTAACTGTGAACTCTTTTTTTTTGAATTAATGACATGTAGGATCAAGGTGATTCAGTGACGTCACTTCGGCACGTGCTGTTACATCGTCGATTTTGAGAGGTTTTTGTATAAGGAGATTTAAGATTGCTCTACTTTCTCTGAGAACCCACTCGAAAACTTCGATAATTCGCTAATTTTTTTTATAACCTTGCTTAAAAGACCATAAATAACTCAATATTTATATTTTTTTGATTGCTTCATTCATCTCGTTCAAGAAGACAATGATATTATTATAAAAAATATAAAGATTTATGAGTGGTGTAATAAATTTAAAAAGAGCTTATCGAAAATTGATTGTAAATTTTTAATTAATTCAATTTTAATTTTAAACATTAATTATATTAAATTCATTATTTAATAAATAATTATTATTTATTATTTAATAAATAATGAATTAATAAATAAATAATGTTTTGATCAAATTTTCATCGATAATTTTCAAAATTCGCTATAAAATTAATTTCTTGAAGGATCCTTGTGGAAATATCACCAATTATTAATTAAAGTATCCTCTTTTTAATGCAAAAAGCCGTTTTGAAAAATCACTTTTAGTTTTTGAGAAATAAATTTTTGAAATGATCGACAATTTTTTCGAATTTTGCAATTTCGCCGATTAAGTTTTAAAAATTCGTATAAAATCCA